GTTCGTCGGCCTAACTGGTGCTTCGGCTATACTTCCGTATACTCTTCGACACACAGCTGCTAAGGCTTTCGCTCTCAGGAGGCTCTCAACGAGAGTCCCCCTTTTTGACCTTTGGGCTCGGTCAGGGGTTGGAACTGAGAACCCCCGCGGCTGGGCCCGCCCACCCGCGTATCTCCGTCCTCGGTCGAGCGTTTATGCCGCTCGGCCTCGGCGGCCACCTGGCTGTTGTTCTACCCCGCATTCCTCTCCGAGGAATGCTGTTCTGGGATGCTATCATTCCCACGATGTAACACGTGTGGCAATTCACTCACGTGTTGCTTCATCTATCGTTTACATGGGGATTCCACTACAATTAACACACGAGCAGACGGACACCCACACCCACACACGAGCACACGGACACACGGACAGACACGAGCATATAGCATCATGCTCACTTACATACAGACCTCCATGCGCACCCCCCCCCCCCTGCCAGCCACATACCGGCCCTGCCTCACTGCCGAGCAAGGACTCCCGAACGGAACGGACCACGGACAGAGCAGGATACCCGCCTCTTCCCCGGCCACTCGCAAAATGAAGAGGGCAGGCGTTTGTACATTTACGCAATACAAAGGAGAAAGCCAACGAGAGGGAGGAAACTGAGAGGGGAATATATGTGAGGGGAGGGGAAAAGGCAGGCCAGATGGGTGTCACTTTTTCGACGACGAAACCGGCCGGCTGGACACCGACTGCCGGGCACCCTTGCCGGAGGCCGGGGCGCGCGAAGACTGGCCGGCCGGCCCGCGCGAGGACGGCGCCGGGGCACTTCCACCATCGGCCGGCGGTGCGGCCGGCTCGCCATCCTGATGCATGTCAGTGTCGAAATCCAGCTCGTACAGGGAGTCCACATCCGGGTCGTCGTCCTGCGGATCGGCAGCAGCACCCTTGCCGGTGGTCGACGACGAGGGCTGAGACGACAGGAGCGACACCCCGGCCGGGGGCATCTGGCTGAAGTCCATCACAGCCGGCTCCGGCGGAGGACCGCCAGCACGCGGGCCGCCCCGCGGGACGAAGTCCTCCGGCGAGAGGCTGGCCTCGGCCAAGACAATGATGTTCTGCGGCTGCGAGGCATTCATGACGATCGGCTGTGGCCGGGAGGCCGGGAGGGCTGTGGCCGGGGCCGCGGTCTTCAACCCGGCCAGCGACGGATACAGGGGCTCCTCCAGGCTTCGGAGCTCCGAGGCATGGGCCAGATTCTGCTCGGAGAAGGCGATCACCGTCCCGGCACCGAGCTTGCTGGCCAGCGTCGCGGAGGGCGCCTGCGGGTCGTCCCCCGGGGCAAAGGCCCCGCCGCCATGGTGGCCACCAAGCCCGGGGCCACCATCGGCACCGCCAACGCCACTGCCTCCCGCCGAGGGGGTGAACACAATCGACGACAGGGGATCGGCAAACTCATTGTCCCCGAAGGAGGCCATCATCCCGCCCGACAGGCTGTTCGAGCTGAAGTCCGACATGAGCAACTCATCCGCGTCAAATTCCTCATCGGCATCGTGGATGTGATCGAAGTCCCCATCGGCGTCCTTCGGCCCGGCGCCCGCGGCAGAGGGGCCCCCGGCCGCGGCTCGGGCCTGTTGCTTGGCCGCGCGCATGCGGGCCAGGCGCTCCTGCCGGACGCGCTCCGTCGCCTCATTCGGGTCGACGGCCACCTGGCGGTAGTCGTACTCCGGATTTTGCCCGGGGAGGAAGCGCGGGGCGGCCATATCACCGCCGCCGCCGCCGCCACGGAGGTGCTGCTCGGCCTCGTCCTCCGAGTCGGCCCAAGAGTCATCCCCGGGGCCGAGGCTCGCCCCGCCGCCCAGGCGGCCGCCCGAAAGCCCGGCCACGGCCACCGGCACATGGTCCGCCAACAGGGCGGCCAGCCCCTCCACCATGCCGGAGGAGTAGGCCCCAACGCCGGAGGCCGAGGCTGCTGTGATGGCGTCCCGGCTCCAGACCGACGCATGGTCCCGGGCCACGGCCACCGTGTATCGGACATGCTCCAGCGCATCGGACAGCGAGCCGCGCATGGCTGTTCCCGAGGGGATGTGCTGCGAGTCGCCCAGCAGCATGGCCGCCGCATCGAGGGTGGCTGCATGGTCACAGCGCAACCCGATGCCCGCATCCAGGCGGTCGCGCGGGGGGGGGGGGGGGGGGGGAAAAAACACCAAAGGCCAGGGGCAGTGAAAGTCCCCACCATTGGGCGAGCAAAGGGCCGGGAGGGAGGGCCGACACACGGCCACATGCATGCGCAGGAGCCCGTGCGCGTGTGCGTGTGTGTGTGCGTGTGGCCGGGCCGAGGGGACCATGCGTACCATCGTCAATCGTCTCGAAGTCATCGGTGTCCGAGTCGGAGTCGGCGCCAGCGGTGGAATGCTGCATGTCGGGCGAATCGTCGGCCAGCCTGCCGGGCACCGACCGCGAGCCTGGGCGAAGCAGCGGCGGCGAGGCGCCCCCGGCCACGGTGCCACTGGTGCCGACCCCCGGGCCGGCCGCCTGGAAAGATACCTGCGGCCGGGTGTGCGGGATATGCGTGGTGGCCGTGCGGTTGAAGCTCGGGATCCCGGGGACATTGTGACGCGAGGGAAGAGGCCCAAGGGCCAGGCCGCCGGCCTCCGAGGAGGACAGCGACATCGACGGCTGGCCGTAGTACTGGAAGAGGAAGCTCGGATGGCGCCAAAGGGGCGGCGGGAGCCCCGGGCTCGGGGAGAAGGGCGGCAGCAGCAGGTGCGACCGCCAGACCGTGGCCGAGCTATCCACCGCCTCCGGGGTCAGCAGGGACCCGGAAGAAGAGCCACCGGCCGGTGGCGTGGCCCCGGCGGCAGGGCCGCCGCTCGCGGCCCCGGCCAGCACACTCTCCGAGCTCCCCCCGGGCGAGGACCCGGGCGAGCCGTCGGGCGTGGACCGACCCCCGGGACTGCTGGGGGCCGGGGCCACGGCGCTGCCCACCGGCGTCGACATGGCCAGGAGATTCATCGGCAGCGGATACCGGTAGAAGGGCAGCTGGTCCGACGCCGGGACCGCATGGCGGAAGTACTCCACACAGCTGACATGCAGGGATTCCTCCAAACCGGCGGGAACCGGCGAGCCAGATGACCCGCCCGGCCCGGCGGCGCCCCCGTGGCCCGATGGCGGGGAGGAATTCCCCGACCCGCCGGGGCCGGCGCCCGCCGGCAGGCCAAACTCATGCGCCAGGAAGTCCGAGCTGCTGGACGGGTGTGCTCCCGACCCGACGGGCAGGCGCCCGACGCCCCCCGCAGCAGCGGGGTCATCCAGGGAGATGCCGCCCGCACCGGCGGAACGGCCGCCCCCGCCGGACCCGGACAGCCCGGGCCCGGGCCCGGCCCCAGCCCCGGTGCCCGTGCCCTGGGCATTGGTCACAAAGGCCGGCAGGAAGTTGCTGGCCCCGGCGGCCGAGGCGGCCGCGGCGGTGGCCTCAACCGCGGCCGAGGCCATGCGCGAGGCCGCCGCCGCGGCATTCCGCCCACGCGACACACGCGACTCCGGGATCAGTCGCGCGTACAGCAGCGGCCCGGGGGAGTTCGGGCCGGAGCCCGCCAAGCCGGCCGCATTGAAGTAGTACAGGGCCTGGGTCGGGCCGTGCACCGGGCCGATGTATTCGAAGCCGGACTCCGGGTGCAGCCCGGCCGGGCCGCCGCCGGTGGAGCCACCGCCACCCGGGCCCCCGGCCGACCCACCACCCGGGCCACGCCCATGGGTCACCTCCAGGCCGCCGGCCTCATTGGTGGTGTAGTAGAGCCCCGGCTGGGCTGGGGCCGGGGAAACCAGGGCACTGGGGAACATGAAGACCGACATGGAGGACCGGAAGCCCTGGAGACGATCGCCAGAGCCACCGGGGCCGGCTCCAGCCGACTCGGCCTGCGGATCGTGCAAGCCACCGAGGCCACCGGCCCCGGCCCCGGCCCCGGCCCCGGCGCCCGGAGCCCGGCCAGCCGGGGCCGAGATCGTGTCCTTGATGCGATAGGCCGCGCGGATGTCCACCGGCTGGCGGAGGGCATTCGGCGGCAGGTGATCGAAGAGGGACTGCTCGGTCGGGGGCCGATAGCCGGCCGGCGCGCGGACCAGCCGGCGCAGGGTGTGCGTGTTGATGCCCACCGGGCCGCCCACCGGGGAGATGGGGAAAAAGTGCGCCGTGCCACGGTCCGAGCAGGCGACAACCCAATTGCCGGCCGGGCTGAACTGCAAGTGCTCAATCACACACGGGGTGATGCCCCGCTGAAGGCGATACAGCAGCTCGGCCCCGCCATTGGGCCCAAGCCCGGGTGGCGATGCCCCGCCCCGAGGCCGGACCCCCGCGCCCGGGCCACCGGCCTGATGATGGTACAGGTCCGCCGCCGGGGGGGGAGGCCGGATCCGGAAGACATGCAGCACCTTCCCGTGGGCCGGGGCCGTGACCAGCAGGGTGCCGGACGCGTCGAAGGCCATGGCGGCAATCGGCGCATCGTGATGCGCCACGAAGTGCGCAATCACACGAAGATCCTCCCCGGAGGTGGCATCACCACTGCCACCGGGACTCTGCAGAGACCGGATCATGACGATGCCCGGCTCGGCGGCGGCCTTCCCGGACCCGGGGCCGCCGGTGCCAGCAGCACTGGACCCCATTCCGGCCCCGGGGCCCGCCCCGCCAGGCCCCGTGCCAAGGACCCCGGTCGCCCCGAGGGAGGATCCCCCGGCCACAGGGGCCGAGCAGCCCGCCCCGCCGGCCATGCCGTCCGAACAGTCAACCCCGCCACCGGGGGCCATGGACCCGGGACCGACGCCACCGGGGCCGCCACCAACGCCCGGCAGCCCATGCGGCGTGCTCCGGGGCGAGGCCCCATTGAAGACATCAGACCAATTGGTGCCGGCCGAGCTGGGGGAAGGGGAAGGGCCGGTGTCACCGGTGTAGGCGGACTTCCGACCGAGCCAGCGCCAGCCGGCAGCCACCTGCGAGCTGATGGCCTGCACGGCGGCCGACGCGGTGGCCGCCGCAATGGAAGCCGTCTTATGCAGGGAGTTTGACGATTGGCCATAGGAGCCGGACCTGGCGGAGAGAGGCGCGAGGACGCGGGGAAGGGGGAAGAAAAGAGCCGGAGGAAGGGACAAAAGGAGGAGGGAAAAAAACGATGGTCAGAGGGGGAGGGAGGGGGGGGGGGGGCATAGGCAGAAGGTGCGCTCGCACGAGGGCATCGAAGGGACGCACATCATGACGGGGCTCTGGTCGGTCCAGGTCCGCGACGCGTAGGCCATCCAGCTGGCGCCCAGGGCGGCCACAACCCCGCGCGAGCCCACCACCGACGGCCGGCAGTCCGTCAGTTCGAAGGAAGGCTGGTATGCGTCGAAGTTGCGCAGATCCCCGGCCGACGCAGGCCCGACCGGCCCGGCTGCCGGCAGGTCCGCCAGGTGGGACTTCTGGCTGGGACCCCACAGGCGGAAGGTGCTGATCTTGGTCCGGCCCAAGAGCGCCAGGATCTGCGAGTTGGACAGGGCTTCGCGAATGTGGTTGTCATCCGAGGCGTAGGGGCCGCCAGCGGGCCCGGACCCGACCACGGCTGCCAGCTGCGAGGAGTTGATGTGCAGCATGCATACAATGGCCGTCGTACGAAGCGAGATAATGCGCATCTCCCGGACACCGGTGGTCTGGGAGAAGGAACTGAAGAGCGGGTCGGGACGCGTGTCAGAAAGTGAACCAATGCGGGGGGGGGGGGGGGGGGCAATACACCCAGTGATGGTGGCGGCGGGAGCCCCGAGGGGAATGGCAGAACAAGAAGAGGAGAGAAAGGCCGTACACAACAAGAGCATGGGGGCGGTCGGAGTTGGCCAACTCGGCGGGCGTCATGTTGCTGGGATTCTCGATGAGCTGCCAGCCGGGGAACGTTCAGGGGTTAACAGACAGACAGAGAGATGGGGGGGGGGCGGGTGGCGAAACAGGCGAAACAGGCGAAACAGGCGAAACAGGCGAAACAGGCGAAACAGGAAGCATGGGCACAGCAGGCACGCACCCGGAACACCAGGACCGGCAGAGTGGACTCGGCGGAAAAGATGCGACGCGCGGCGCGGGGATCATCGACATCCCACAGCTCGTAGCGGTCGGTCATGCCGAGACACAGGCACAGAGGCCCCTTGGACCCGGGGCTGGGCTTGGACAGCTGGGGGAGGTGCTCAAAGCGGGCATAGATCACCCGGCTGGCGGCGCTGGTCCCGGCCGCGGCGCCGGTCGACCCGGCGAAGCCCACCCCCGCCCCGACCCCGGTGGCCTTGGTGATGCGTGACATGAAGTCATGCACCGTGGAGGCCGAGGAGCCATATGCCACCTCCAGGAAGGACCGATTGGAGAGATTGGCCCGGATGGCCGTCGTCACCGGGGGAATGTGCAGCATCGACATGTCCGGCTGCGGTGGCGGCCGAACCGGCGTGCCGGGCAGGATGGCCGGCACCCCGCGCGGCCCGGGGACCGGCTCGCTCGCACCGACCCCCGGGAAGCCAAAGGCCCCGCCATCCGCCGAGGGGGGGTATTGCGGCAAGGCATCCGACGGGGTGCCCGCCGTGGGCCTCATGTCGGGGATATTTTCCAGATGCGAGAAGTCCATGCTGCCGGAGGAAGTGGCCCTGGCTGGCGGAGTAGCCGGCCGGAAGAGGTGCTGCCTGTTGGGGAAGAGGCCATCGCCGGCCGGGCCGGTCTCCGGGTCCTCTTCGGAGGAAGAAGTCGAGGGGGAGGACCCGGTCGCATGGGGGGCCGCGGTGACCGGCCCGACAACCGAGTCGTCGGCCGTCCCATCAAGTCGACCACCGCTGGCCGAGGCCATGACCGGGGGCGGGGGCGAGGTCGGGGGCGTCCCGCCAGACGCCGCGCCCCTTGCATATGTGTCAAAGACAGCGGCTCCCGGCACCGGGGAGCCCGGCGTGGCCGGGGCCGCCGGCGATTCCAGGTCAATGTCCAGCAGCTGGCCGGTGCTGCCGCTGCCGGCCGGAGTGCCACCATGCTCGGTGGCAGCCGGCCCGGGCGACATGAAATCCCCATACGGGAAGTGGCTCAGCCCCGGGTGAGTGGACCGCCCAAGATCCAGGCTGACCAGACCGTCATTCAGGAAGGAACCCCGCGAGTCATCCTCATCATCCTCATCATGGCGATCATGGTCGTGGCCTTCGGACGAGCCGCCCGGCCGGAAGCGCCCATGCTCGGCCACCAGCGAAGGCGGCGAGTCAAAGGGCAAGAATGATGGGGTGTCAGACGCAGGGGGGGGAGGACCATCGTCCAGGGGCGACAAGTCCAGGAGGGGATACTGAGCCGACAGGGACTGCTGCTGCTGCTGCTGCTGCTGCTGCTGCTGCTGCTGCTGCTGCTGCTGCTTCGGGACCGCCACCGGAGCCTCGATCTTCGGCTCGGGAATCGACTCCGGCTCGGGAATCGACTCCGGCTCGGGAATCGACTCCGTCCCCGAGACAGACTGCGACTTGGACTTGGCTTTGCCCCCGGACGCTGGCGAGGCCTTGGCCTGAGATGTGGGCTCGGGCTCGGGCCCAGGGGCAGGCGTGGACTCGGTCTTAGGTTCAGCCTTGGACTTAGACTTGGACTTGGACTTTGTCTTAGACTTGGGCTCGGGCTCGGGCTCGGGTTCAGACTTAAGTTCAGGCTCAGGCTCGGGCTCAGGCTCGGGCTCGGGCTCGGGCTCGGGCTCGGGCTCGGGCTCGGGCTCGGGCTCGGGCTCGGACTTAAGTTCAGGCTCGGGCTCGGGCTCAGACTTAAGTTCAGGCTCGGGCTCGGGCTCGGGCTTAAGTTCAGGCTCAGGCTCAAATGTAGGCTCAACAGGCGACACGGACTTCGAGCTGACAGCAGGCTCCGATACCGGGACAGGCCCCGGCTCGGCAACAGGCTCAGGGTCCGGAGGGCTGGTGGCCTTTTTCTTCTTGCGCTTTTTGCTCTCCTCCCTGCGAGGGGAGGACTTTTCCTTGCGAGGCGTGGGCTCCTCCTTGGCTGCCGGAGGCTCGGCGGAGATGACAGACTGCTTTTTCTCCTCGCGCTGGATGGACTCCGCCGAGGAGGACGAGACGATCTCCGAGGAGGAAGCAGATGAGGAAGGAGGGGACATGGCGGCGTTGGGGCCGGGCAACTGATTGGCCGGCCGCATGGAGGGCGCCGGCGAAGGCGGCGAAGGCGGCGATCGAAGCTCCAGCTCGGCGGCTGGAAGTGGCGAGAGATCCAGCAGGAGACCAGGCGAGGCCCCGGCGGCTGGAGGCCCGGCGGCTGAAGCACCAGCGGACACGGGGGCCGGGGTCAAGGAGCTGGCAGTCCCTGGCGTGTCGCTGGGCGGCGTGCCCGGCGGGGTGGAGATGGCCTCGACCTTGGGACCGGCGGCAGGCTCAATGCTGACCTCGCCCGGCTCGGCGAGCCGGGACTCGGCCTCGCCGCCACCCTCACCAGCATCAGAACTGGCATTGGCATGGGCAGTGTCATTGTTGCCATCGTCCGCAGCAATGGTCGCAGTGGCATCAACATCGTCGGCACCAACATCGAGTCGAGCATCGGGCTTGGTGGTGGTGCAATTGCCCTGGGGCGTGGCCTCGACAGAAGCCGCACGATCAACCACTTCGGCATCGGCCTCGAGTGGGGGCTCCGGGTTGTCATCTGCGTCAAAGGAGAAGAGAGTCAATGTCACGACTCAGACGGGGGGAGGCAGAAAAAATGAGAAAAAAAAAGGCATCCACATACCCTGTTGATCCGACTTCGAGGCAGCTGCCGAGGCGACAGCCGACCAGCTTAGCGGAGCGACTGGGGTGTCTGCCGGCTGTTCCCTGGCCGGACTCTTGGAGGCCTTCGCCTGGTCCGCCTTGACCGGTGAGGAGGCCGCCCGAGTGCCGCTTTGGGAGGTCGGTGAGGGGGAAGATGACCGATCGGCCTCGGCAGGAGCCTCGGTGGCAACCGAAGTGACCGGACCGCCACCGGGCAGCAGGTCGCTCGAGGAGCTGGGGCTCGGCTCGGGTGAATTATCGGGGCTTGGCGCGGCAGAGCCCTTGGGGCTTGGCCCGGTGGAGTTGCCGGCTGAAGAGCCAGCAGAACGCGTGGGCACATTGGCATTGGCGCCCCGGCCCCTGCGAGACGGGGAGCCACCACCGCCACCTTCCGACAGTAGGTCCGAAAGGTTTTTGATGCCCATGGTACTGGCCGAAAGAGGAGGAAGGGGGGGGAGAGAGAGGGAGAGAGAGGACGTGCGCGGAGGAAGAAGAGAAAGGAGAGAGAGAGAGAGAGAGAGGGAGGGAGGGCCCGGACGGCGCTCGGATCTGGGCCGAGGGCCAAGTGAAACGAGCACAGGGAGGGGAGGAGCAGTGGAGGGGGAGAAGAAAGGAGAGGAGTGGGAGAATGAGGGAAGGGAGATGTGGCGCGGCCCAGGGGGAGGGTGGCGGGGCCCTCTTTTTTCTGGGATCTCCTCCCTTGCGTAATCCCCGGCGCTTCCCCGGCGGTGAAAAAAAGACGCCCCCCGCCCACCCGCCCCCCTCCCCCAACGCGTACACATCCCCCGAGGGGCTCCCCGGCCCGCTTGAATTCCTTTGGTTTCTCCGGACACCCTGGTCCTCGGGAGAAGCGGGGCCGGGGGGGCCGGGGGGGGGGACAAAGAGAACAGGCCGGACGGGTGAATGAAGAGAAACACCGGCCCCTGAGAACGAAGGGGGGACGCGGAGAACCTGGACAGCGCCGGACGCCCCCCGCCCCCATGAGAGTCATCATGCTTTTTGCCAGGCGCTTCTCGTCCACCTCTCCACCTGAGCGCCACAAGCCAGCGAAAAGCACACGGGGGACCGGCCCGTTAGTTGGAATCTGCCCCCCCCCCCCCCCGGCCGGTCGACCAGCCACCTCGCCCGAGGGAAAGCATTGGTGCTTGGGTGCGAGCCGTCGAGCTCCCGGCCTGCGTCGCCTGCTGTCTGCCACTCTGCCCGATCATGATCATTCCATTACCACACACATACAGATGGCAAACCCTGTCACACTCGATCATTTAAGAATCCCCATGCTGAGGACCCAGACTCGGACAGTAGACCCGTCCCAAAGGGGCAGCCGGTGGATGATTGAGCTGGCCTTGGCGTGGCGGGAACAGAGCGAAATGGTCCAGCAGCTTCCTCAGGAGGCAAGGCCGCGTCATGTGTTCCGGATGTATCCCGTGGTGCCGCGTTGGGGCTGACCCCAGTGCTTTGCACCGGGCCGTTTGTGGCGATGCCGGCCGACAGCCAACGGAAGGCCGGCCTGGGACAAAGTCGCCGTCTGAATCCGAAAAGTGGGACACAAAAAAGGACAAAAAGAGGGACACCGCGGTGCGATGAAAGCCGAAAAGTGTGTATGTGAGAAGGATATTGGTACAGAGAGACGTGTAATGAACGCCGAGGAGAGGAGATTGGCGAGGAAGGAGGGTAGCCACAGGCACTTGCTGAGGCCCAGGCGGTGGCGGGGATACGAAAAAGGGAGTGTCCCTTTGCCAGGGAGTGTGTGCGCTCGTCCTCGCGGGCATGCTGCCCCTTCTCTCCCGCGAGCCGTCCCCTGCCCCCTCCACCTTCGCTGGAGGACAAGCGAACAGAAGGGAGTTGGCCTGGGACGAGACTCAGGTAGGCCTCTGGGGGGGAGGGAGGGCAAGATGATAGTAGGCCGGGGAGGAGGGGGGGAAGGAACCTCACACCGCGTCCACGCCCACACCTCACAATCACCTGTGCCCTCCTCCTGCCCTGGGGCCCATGTGTGTGTGTGTGTGTGTGTGTGTGTGTGTGTGTGTGTGTATGTATGTGAATATGTGGCGTGACGCATGAGCACCCTCGCGCCCGGCTGGCCCCCATGCCGACCCGCGACTTACCACGCTCACGAGCCGGCGGAGGATGGCCAGGCATGGTGACGATCGGTGGGGGGCGGTTGGAAATTGCCGCCGCCATGAACGTGGGCGAAACTCGGCGGGACGCCGGCCGTCACATAGGAGCCCCGGCGGTGGTGGGCCCCCTCGCCGCCGGGGCCCGTGTGCGACGTGTTCTCCAGCACATGCCACCCGATGAAGTACCGACGATAGCGCTCCCACATGCGATGCTTGAGCCACATTTGGTGGAACACCTTGTAGAGAGCACGCCCGGCGATGATGATGGCTGCCAGAGGATGGGCAAAGGCCACCTGGTTGAGGATGGTGGCCAGGCGGAAGTCGGCCAGGGCCATGAGCAGGCCCATGGCCCGGCGAAGGATCAGGCCTGTCAGCGAGGGCAACCCAGGCGAGCCGGTGGGGCCGGTGCCGGCAGCCGTGCCCCCACCGGCCAGGGTGGCCATCACATCGGCCGCCAGGCTGAAGGTGGACCCCGGCGACTGGCCGGAAGACACCGTGACCAGCAGACGCGCCAGAGCCCGAGCCAGGCCGGTGAGCCAGAAAACCACCAAGTGCGAAGAAACCTTCACGAGGAAGGCCCCCAACAGCGGGACCACCAGGAACTGCAGAGACGTGGACATGGGCCGGAGCATCAGCAACTGGATGTGGCTGAGGCCGATGTCCAACGGCTCGGTGGCCATCTGCCCCTCGGAGGTGATCCACGAGAGGGCCGCCCGGCGGCCATCGCCCGGGAAGAGGGCCCGCCGCTCGATCCGGGGATAGATCGAGGCCGGGCGCAGGATCAACGAGAGGAAGGACCCTCCGACTCCGAGCCAGCCGCCGCCGCCGCCGCCGCCGCCGACCGGGCCGCTGTCGCTCCAGGAGTCCACAAAGTTCACCTCATCCTCATCCTCATCATACTCCTCGTCGTAGCCCTGATTCTCCTCATGCAGGTCGAAGGGGAAGTCATGATGCATCAAGCCGGCCGGCGTGGAGCCGAGGGCATCCGCCGGCGCGCATTGCGAAGATGCCCCGACGCCGGTCGCCATGCCGTCACTCGGGCCATGCGCAAGCTGCGCCGTGGCCAGGCCACCTACGGGTCGCGGGCCCACTGTGGAAGAGGCGACCGGCGTGGTGGCGATGGTGGCGGCCATGGGGCCGGGGGCGGTGTCCATCCTGGCGGCGGCAGGGGCCATGACCGTGGCACCGGCGGGCACGGCCGTTGCTGCCGCGGCAGCAGCCGCCGCCGCCGCCGCCGCCGCCGCCGCTTGTTCTTGTGCTGCGTCCAGCTCCTGGGCGCGTGCCATGTCCGGATAGATCCAGTGGCCGACGATGCGCATGGCCCAGCCAGTCAGCCACCACTGGAAGAGACACAGCAGGAGGTCGGTCAGACCCTGCTCCGTGCGCCAGGTCGAGGCGAAGAGTGGCAGCTCCAGCGGCGACTGGTATCCGAAAACCAGCTGCCGGGCCACACGCAAGACACTGGCATCCAGAGCCAGGCCCACCGAAATGTAAGTCGCGGCTCCGATGCACCAGGCCCGGATCATTTCCCGGAGTTGCCCAGTTAGCAGGGCCACCGCCGCCTTGCGCCAAGCGGTCGGCAGCCAAACTAGCTCCCAGAAGAGGGGGAACACTTGGACAATGAAGAGTCCCAGCCGGAGGAGCGCAATCCCGGAGGCCAGCGCCCAGCCATCGCTCTTCCAGAAGCTCGGCAGGTGGAAGCAGAAGGACCGGCCGACGGCAACTGCGAGCCCGGGAGAGACGGGGGGGGGGGGGGGAGGGGGGGGGAACATGGTCAGTGAAGCTCTCCGACACGGCGGCGGGAGGGGTGGTGGAGGAACGCACTGGGCGCCGCGATGGCCAGCGTCCAGAAAACCATGATGCTAGCGGCGGAAATCAAAAGATACATGACCAACTGTGGGAGATGTCCCGGCCGCGCCCAGCCAAAGGCCCGCCAACGGTGCAGAGCACGAGTGCATGGGTGAGTGGCGACCCTCAGAAGGGGGGGCAGCACAGGGCAGAAGTGAAAGAATGCACAGCCGGCCTCCGGGCCCTGGCGAGGTGGCCGGTGCGCCGCGTGCGCGCGCGCGCGAGCGCGTACCTTGGTCTTAAGCAGAAGGCGCGACCCCGGTCGGCCGAGAGCGCCCGACGCATCCGGGAACAAGTACCCCTCCAGGCCGAGACTGATGGCCGTCAGGTAGGAAGCCAGGAGGCTGGAATAGGACACAATGTGCTGGACGATGCTCCCATGCCAGAAGCGCCGGTCAACCGCAGGGGCAGCACCATGGCCGGCCGAGGACCGGTCGGCGCCGGTGCTCTCCTGCAAGAAGCCCAGCTTCCAGGCAAGGGTGTCAACAAGGAGGGCGGATGCCGGCGGCGAGGCCATGCCGATGGGGGCCTGCTTGTCGGCCGCACCGGCTGCCTGAGCCGCCGCCACCGCGGCACGCTCCTGGCGGTACCCCTCACGGGCACGGGTGAGCACCGTTTGCACGGCGGCCGTCACCCGGGCGCTGGCGCCTCGGCCCACCGGGGTAAAGAGCAGGCCCGAGACCGCCCACCAGATGGCCGCCAGCTGCAGGGCCAGCTGGACAATCGGCCCAAGGCCTGGCGACCAGGCAGGCGGGGCCACGGTCGACAGGCGCAACAGACACTGGCTCCATAGACACTCGGCTTCCGGATGCTGGCCCGGCCAGGAAAGCAGCGGCAGGGATACGGCCGCCGGGCCGCCAGCGCGCAGCGCCCCGGACCGCATGTCCCCAGGGGCCGGCCCCGAGGCCAGCGGGCCAAAGAGCGACAACCCCACGCCGCCCAGATCGAAGGAGGGCGGAGACCAGGCCCGATCGAGCAGCCCCGGCAGGAGCAGGCGCCGGCCGGCCGCCGTGAGCGCCGTGGAAACCGGCCGACCGGTGACACCCGCGCGCGAGTTGGTGCCGGCCGGTGCCACCCGCGTGCCATTGCCCCCGAGCAGCACCCCCCCGGTGTCGAGGAGGTGCTCAAGATACAGGCGTCCAGAGTCGACGAGGCCCAGCAACACACGCAGGCCGAAGGTCAGCGACCAAAGGACGAGGCTGCCCAACAGCAGGCTGGACACCGTGATGGCAAGCAGATGCAAGCATGATAGGACCTCCTGCTTGAGGGGCAGCTCAAGCTGAAAGAGGCAAGCGTGAACCGGAGGCAGGAAGAGAGAGGAGCGAGAGTGAGGGAGTGAGAGTGAGGGGGGGAGAGCGGGGGAGGGGGAGAGCGGGGGGGGGGAGGGGAGGGCAAGGGAGCGAGAGTGAGAGAGAGAGATAGAGAGGGAAAGAGAGCAAGTAGGTGAGAATCGGCCGAAGAGAAGAGGGAGAAGGGGAATGCATCCAGACAGGTGAAGAGAGGGGGGGGGGTAGAGGTGGGGGGTGGGAGGGGAAGAGGGAGGGGGGGGGAGAGAGGGAGGGGGGGAGAGCGGGGGAGGGGGAGGGAGGGCAAGGGAGCGAGAGTGAGAGAGAGAGATAGAGAGGGAAAGAGAGCAAGTAGGTGAGAATCGGCCGAAGAGAAGAGGGAGAAGGGGAATGCATCCAGACAGGTGAAGAGAGGGGGGGGGGAGGCCGACACGCACGCGATTGAGAATGAGCTCGCCAATGTGGTTGGACGCCACGAAGGCCAGCCCGCGGCGTGGACCAGGGTCTAGGTTGGGAGGGGGAATCGCCAGCCCGGCAACCGGGCGATCCGGGTCCTCCAACACGCCGTCGCCGCCGGCGCCCAGTAAATCATCCACCATGGGGGTGTCTGACACGCGGCCGGAGGGGGACCCCTCGGCAGGGGCAAGGCCCAGCAGCAGGTGGAAGTATCGCTGGGCCGAGGGCCGCGGGGTGAGCCGGGCCAAATGCCGGCGCAGGTAGTCCACCAGCCGAAGCAGCAGGAACCCCAAGCACCAGGTGAACACCAGGCTCACGATGGCCGTCTCATACTCGGTCGACAGCTGACACGATCCATCGAGATCGGTGCCGGCCAGGGTGGTCAGCAGACTGGGCCGAAGGAGTGCAAGCGGCCCGGCGCCCTGGAAGTTGAAGAGGGCTCCACACCGGCCGGTCACCGTCAAGGGGACCGCCCCGCGCGTGGTGGCCAGCGAGGCGGCCAGCGAGGCCGATTCGCGCAGAACCGCCCCGGTCGCCTCGCCGGAGCTCGCACTCCCCACGCTGAAGACCCCACGCAGGAGGGAAGTGGAGACATAGTCCCAGAAGAGCTGGCGCACATTGGCCGCCCGCGGGAGGGTGGCCCCGGTCGTGAGCATGGCCGCCCCGGTGCCAGGCAGGACGCTTAGCGGTGCCACAAACAGGCTCAGCAGCAGGCGAGCCATCTTGCCCGTGAAGATGGGCGCCAGTAGGAGGTGAAGAATCACCAGGATGAGGAACTGCATGGCGCCAGGGCCCCGGGAATGGGCGCATCAGAGGGCGAGAGGGATGGAAGGGGGGCAGGGGCGAGAGAGGGAGAGGGACGGTAGCAGGGCGAGAAAGACGGGTCAGGGAGGGTCGAGAGGTGGCGAGCGAGCGCGAGGGG